TTTTTTTTTTTTTTTTTTTTTTAATTGTTTGACTTGCTATCATCCCGGTTCTTAAAAGGTTCAGAAGGCCCTACCCCTCAGATTTCCTGGGAGTGAGGGAGGTGATGGGCAGGGTTAGCCTGCTGGCTGGGATGGTGCGTGCTGGGCCTGGAATAGGAATGGGCCTGTTCCTGGTGGGGAGGGGTTTCTGTGGGGTGTTCTTGCACATCAGGCGACCACAGGGCCAGCAGAACTGCTTGTGTGGCTCTCTGCCGCGGAGTGGATAGGCACCGCTTCCTGTGGCAGCTCAGGGCAGTTCAGATCTCTGTGCCTGTATAATAGGCCCATCTCGGTGTTGGTCTCCGAGAGCAGCAGCTCTGAGCAGCCAGTAGCCACTGCTGATCATGCCACTGCTGCCAAGTTTAGCTTTAGCTCTCCCGCTTCCCCCACCCGCCCCATCCCTCCCCAGTAAATCTATTGCATGTAATAAATTAGCGTTTTATGGCTGGGACCTTAACACTTAGTGACAATCTGTTTCAAATTGTTATATTTGGACTTTTATACAGTATTACTATTTGTTTTCATTTGCTTAAATGTTATCTTACCTACCGGATGGTACCTTTTTTCTTCAGTGCTGGGCCCCCGATAGTTTTTGGATACGTTTGTGGTACCTTCGTATTGTCTGACCTGGGGTTTGGGTAGCACAGACCTCGTAAATATTTGTTGAGTCAAAATAATCAACTTTGTAAGTGCGTTGCTGCAGGATTTCTGTTTCAGCGTGGGGAGGAGGTGGGACCTGGGCGCTCCTGGGAGAGGGATGAGGTGCGTTTTGCATCGAAGCTCTTAGCGGTTCCTCAGCAGAAGGGAGAATGTGCTCCAGAGCATAGGGTGGGGACCCAGAAGGGCATCGCGGTGGCCAGGAGGCCTGGAGGAGGAGGGCTGCAGTCCCTGGGTCAGCGCCTGCCTGGAGGGCTGTATCGAGAGGCCCTCCTGCGTGGGCTCTTCTGCTGGGTCTGGGGCCTCAGGCTAGTCTGGCTCCAGGGGTGACTGTTGCCTTCTCTTCCAGGCGGCTCTGAGATGGGACTAACCTCTGGGAGTCACTTTTCCTTTTTTGGGAAATTTCTTTCTCGATACACCCACATACCCTGTAACCGTTGGGTGTGGAGGAGAGGCAAATTGCCCAAAAAAGGAAAAAAAAGTCCCACACGCGGGCCGAGGTGAGGTGGGCTCAGGGCAGCCTCACAGACAAGTGGGAGCCTGAATAGTTTGGCTGCGCCTCTGTTTCTTCAGGAGTGGACAGAGTGGAGAATCTGGAAACCCAGGCTGCTGCCTCTCTCTCTCCTCTGCTTTTGTTTCTCCCCCTGTGCTCTGCCTGTTCGTTTACCAAATTCTGCCACTTTCCTTGAGCTTTTGGGGACTGATGTAAAGCTACAGTGCTGGGGTCACTGGAAGGCTTTCCCGAAGAAGCTCCCCATCCAGAGGGGGATCCAGGACCCCGAGTTTCAGGTGGAGCCGCTGGGCTGTGAGGCTCTGGGGCTCCGGGGGGGACTGTGCCCGATGAGCTCTGGCAGCCTTGTCTCTTGATTTCGTCTTCTCTTCCTTTTTCCTCCTGGAAGCCAGGCAAAAACATGCTTTGTTGTTGTTGTTTGCTTTTAAACTGTGGTAAAATATGTGCAACAAAATTTACCATTTTAGCCATTTTTGTTTTGTTTTGTTTTGTTTTGTTTTGTTTTTTGCGGTACGCGGGCCTCTCACTGCTGTGGCCTCTCCCACTGTGGAGCACAGGCTCCGGACACGCAGGCCCAGCGGCCATGGCTCACGGGCCCAGCCGCTCCGCGGCATGTGGGATCCTCCCGGACCGGGGCACGAACCCACGTCCCCTGCATCGGCAGGTGGACTCTCAACCACTGCGCCACCAGGGAAGCCCTAGCCATTCTTAAGATTATAGTTCAGTGGCATTAAGCACGTTCACATTGTTGTGCAGCCATCACCACCATCCCTCTCTAGAACCCCTTCCATCTTCTAGGCTGAAACTGTGTCCCCGTTAAGCCCTCACTCCCCACCCCTCCCCCAGCCCCCACCACATACCCTTCTGCTTCCTGCCTCTACGGATTTGAGGACTCTAGGGACCTCCTGTAAGTGAGGTCATATGGTATTTGTCCTTCTGTGTCTGGCGTATTTCACTTAGCGTAATGTCCTCAAGGTTCATTCATGTCAGAGCATATGTCAGAATCTCCTTATACTTTATTTTATTGAAAAAAAATGATCTGTCTATTTATTTATTTATTTA